CCCTACCCACTATAGTCCGGCCCCCAAGATAAGCTTTTTAAAAATGTGACCAACTAGAGTAAGGTTTGGCTAGTTATTAATTTCTTACAAAGTATTATTACTGAATAGAAATATTTCAAATGTTATTGACTAAATATGATGACTTCTTAGTACATGTATTGCATACCATAAGACCCAAAAGGAAAGAGAGAGTAAGAGATAATGTGTCTACCACAGAGGCAAGGGGTGGGGAAAGGTGAGGGTGGTGGGAGGGACAATGGGAACATTGGTGGTAGAGAATGGGCACTGGTGGAGGGATGGGCACTCGAACATTGTTTGATTGAAAGGTAATCACAAAAATTTGTAAGTCTGTATAAAAAATTAAATTAAAATTTTTTTAAAAATGAAAAAAGAAAATATTTCAAGTGTTTTATATTTGGGAAAACACCTACCAGTTTTTATACTTTATTGAATGAAAGTTACCCACAGTGCAGAAAATGCAGTGAATATATAGAATAAGAAAAATGTTTCACTCCTCAGGTCTTAGCTACCATATGTTGCTCCTATCAGAGAAAGACAAGAGATGTAAAATGCCTTCAACTTTCCACCGTGTTTTTTTAAAAAATTATTATTATTATTATTATTATTGTTCTCCCTTCCGAAATCCAACATGCCATCTCGTTGGTAAAGAAACAAAGAGCACCTGGCCCAGACAAGATCAGACCTGAACACCTGAAGAACTTACCATCAGTACTTATCAATAAATTGGCTCGGCTCTTCACACGCTACCTGTCTGAATGCAAGGTTCCATCCCAATGGAAAACCAGCAGAACTGTACTACTGTACAAGAAAGGAGACATCCACGACATTGGCAACTATCGCCCAATCTGCCTATTGTCTGTCATCTACAAACTATTCACTCGAGTCATCCTGAATAGGATTAACAGAACACTAGATGAAGGACAACCATGTGAACAAGCTGGATTCTGAAAAGGATTCAGTACCATCGACCATATCCACACAATAACCAAGCTCATTGAGGTATCTCGGGAGTTCAAGATGCCGCTCTGTCTAACGTTCATTGATTTAAAGAAGGCCTTTGATTCTGTTGAGATGGAAGCGGTCATGGAAGCCCTAGCCAATCAGGGCGTACAAACTCAATACATCAGGATCCTTCGTGAGCTCTATTGCGGATTCACTACCAAGATCTCACCATTCTACAAAGAAGTAATCATCCATATCAAGAGAGGGGTTCGGCAGGGTGATACCATTTCACCAAAACTCTTCAGTGCCACCCTCGAGAACATCATGCGACGACTGGAATGGGAAAACATGGGAGTGAAGATAGATGGTCGACAACTACACCACCTCCGCTTTGCTGATGACATCGTTCTAATAACACCAAACATCAGCCAAGCGGCACAAATGCTGAACGACTTTGACTGTGAATGTGGAAAGGTCGGACTACAGCTGAATCTTACGAAGACAATGTTTATGAGAAGCAGCCTTGTTCCTGACGCTCCATTCGCTCTCAACAGAACCACCATCTCCGAATGCAACAGTTATATATACGTAGGTCGAGAAATCAACATGATGAATGACCTGGCACCTGAGTTGCGCAGGAGGAAGAGAGCGGCTTGGAATGCCTTCAAGAGCATTGAAGAAATAACTAAAAGGACAAAGAACCTCCAGCTACGAGCACATCTCTTTGATTCCACTATTCTTCCTGCATTAACATATGCCTCAGAGACTGGGACCCTACGAAAACAGGATGAGAATGCTATTCGGGTCTCTCAAAGAGGAATCGAAAGAACTATGCTTGGAATATCACGATTCACTCAAATGAGAGATAGAATCCGGAGTTCTGATCTTTGTCAACGCTCAAGAATCAGGGACGCTGTCTCAGTTGCCAAGACATCAAAAATCAGATGGGCTGGACACGTAATGAGGTTTACAGACAACTGCTGGACTAGAGCCATTACTGATTGGATTCCACGGGACATCAAAAGATCACGTGGACGCCCACCTATAAGATGGTCAGACTTCTTCGTCAAGACCCTAAATGATTGGTTTGAAGCTCTGCATGTTCCTAGAACGAACAGATACCATTGGGCTACACTAGCACGCAACCGGGATGAATGGAGACGTTGCTGGCACCCGCTCGAATAAATCGATGAATAACGGGGATTAAGTGATTAAGTGATAAGTGATATTATTATTATTGTTATTAAGGCACAGTTATTTACAAAGTTGCTTCTAATAAAGGTTTAGACTTACAATGTTCCAACATTAATCCCACAAATTTCCCACTTTTTGTAAATACTCAAAAACGTCCTGGGAGAGAAATTCTGTCAATGTGAGGAAATGTCAAAGCCCTCAGTAGCTTATTTCGCTAGAGTCTGTGAAAAGAGCACATGGATAAATGCTCTACAAATGATGGGAACACAGGAAAATCATCAGACTCTTACATCCTGGCAGTGGACTCACTGTAGCTCTGATACTAAGAAAAAACATAAAAGTCACTTGATTATTTTGCCAGTGAAATATATAGTTTTAAATATGGGAAATAGCATAGGGGGAAAATTCAATTGATTTAAAGTACACGAAAATGTTTAGTTTTTCTATAATAATAATAATAATAATAGCTTATTATTCATTTGTGATCATCCTATGAGAAAAAAGTAATGTGTAAAAAATTTTCAACCATTTTCTTTCAGGTTGTTCCTAATTCTTTTTTCCTTTGATATCACACCCAGTGGAGACATTTTCTTTCAGGTTGTTACTAATTATTTTTTCTTTTATACCACACCCAGGGATTATTTTGTCACTAACCATACTTATGACAGACAACAAGTACAAGAGAGTTTGATAGCATTTAATTATATATTTTACAGTTTGCAAAGTGTTTGTAATGCACATGGAGAGAACATGGCTAAATCGGAAACTTTCACTGTAGTGGATATAAGATCCTTTAAGGAGTAATGCCCAAGAAAACCACTGGAATGACAGAAATCCCATCTTCTGTGCATTGTATTTAGTTGCCACCATGTATTTTGATTCTTTTCCTGTTCAATTCCTTTCTAGTAGGCCCTCTGTGATAATACTCAAACACACAAGTGACATCTTATTTGACTTTTTCTTAAGCAAATTTTCTTGGAAATTAGAATGAAGGAGGATGCAAAGACCGAGATCAAATCAGTCCACTAAGTCATGGCCTCCTGGATCTAGATACATTAATTGACTAGAATAGTAGCCTCTCCTCATTTTTCTTTTTCATTTTATGCTATATGGAACTACTAGTTTCCATTTTTTTATATATATACAATCTCTGACCAGGAATTTTGCTGTTATGTAACATAGAAGAAATTTTGTCAGAAAAAGTTTGCAATATTACATTGCATATTATCTACCATCCTTTAGTATATACTCAAGCATTAGCAGCAATTATGGATGTAATAGTATAATGCATAAATGTTATGTGCCTCTAGTAACAGACACTCCCAACAGACATTCCTGTAATAATGATAACTAATGATAACTAATGGTCACTAACTAATAATAAGTAATCTAAATGATAACTTATAGAATATTGAAGTTGAAACAGGATTTTAGAGGGAGAGGGGTATCAATGTTTTTTTTCTTTATTTATCCCCTCATTTCTTACAGAACGTATTTTTATTTCAAGGACAAGAACTTTTCATTCTGACTTAATAAGTGAAGCTGAGCATATTCCACGAGTCACAGACAATAACAATGAACACTTAGAACCTCTGTAAATAAGGTGTCAGAGATCCAGGTTGGCATGAGATTCTGTGTGACCACCTCTTCTTTGAGGCCTGGTTCTCAGTTCCACCTTTTGTGAAAAGTGTGCAAAGGACTCATTCCACTTCTCCCTTCTTGGGAAATACCTTCTTCTTTGAGAACCCTGGCAGTTCTCTCATGTCTTTCATCACAGAAATATCACCTACATCTTATTTTTCCTTTCTCCTATAAGGCACTTTAACATACCTCTAGTATAGCTTCTCATTAATCATTACCATTTGCTTATAAAGCGCTCACTTTTGTTAGATTTTCGACTTCAGGTTGGCCAGATGCTAACTCTGCTTGGCTGAGGTTCCCTGGGCTTTCCTCTATAGCTCGCACAGAGCAGCCTTTTCACATGTATTTGTAAGAAAATGTAGATGATGATTTTGAAAGCACTAAACTGGATCACGAATACATGAAGCAAATCTAGGATATCATAAGATGATATTATTTATGATTCATATAAAGGATTTGGTAAAGTACAACACTTGAAAAATAAGGTGACCTGATTATAGTTAGGTTTCTGATTCAGCAGGTCAGTGCCCTTCATCCACAATTTAAAATTCCCTCTTCAGACATCATGAAACAAGAAAATTTTAAAAATAAAGGCACTGAACACCCCCTGACCCTAAACCAGCTAAAAACAAAACAAAGAGAAAATCCAAAAAAAAATCAACAATATTGCTGACCAAACTACCTTCCAAAATCCTGGACTTGTGTTCTCTACTATGTGATACCACCACTTGGGTTCTGCATAAACCCAGGGTCTAGAGCCTGTGGGAGAGGAATCCTTAAGATGAGACTTCTCAGTTATATAGACTCAAATTTCTCTAGCTGGAGAAATGCAAAAGGACACACATCCAGCTTTACTAATAAGTCTCTATCTTTGAGAACATGACACCACAGTTGGTTGACTCATTACATTGCTCATAACATCCCTTTGGTGTTTGTGATATGCTCTGTAATGGTAGAACTCAGGGTAGTTTATGGATGAATTTGGGCTAGGATCATCTCCACACTCACACAGGTGTCACTCTTTCACTCACTGTTCAGATGCTTCTCTGTCCAGGAGTAGTTATAGGTGCTTCTATCATTGGTGATTGCAAGAGGATCATCCTCATGACATCTAGCAGTAGGAATTCTGGAATTTCATGCATTCCCATTTCAAAAAGTGTTAAAATTAGCTCATAATTTTTGAATTCTTTTGTTGCTTGAACCACTGGTCACGTGACGTTGTACATCATGTGACCATGTCTTCTCCCCTATCTCCCCTTTCTTTTCAATTGGGGTTACCACATATCCAGTTTATGAAGTGACTATAACTTCATTTTTAACTTTAAAACGGGTCCCTGTTTAAACAGTAGATTATACGGTCATCCTGTTATTAGTGAGGTGTGGCACTTGTGAGAAAATCATATGTTGGGGGGCTGGTTCTGTCATCAGCCGCAGGATACAGGGAGAAGTTGCTTAAACCCTCTCTACTTTTCTAAATTCTCACAAATAGAATAATAATAATGCCTATGGTGATAATTGCCTCTTACTTCCCTCCCCCTGAATAATTTTTGTAACTGCAGAGACAAGATTTGTAGAACACTTTAGCACAGCACTGGATAGAGTAACTTCTGATAAAGGTTACTATTGTTTTCATCTTTTATTCTTTCTTTTCTTGCTTCATTAATTTCTTTCCTTGCTCTCTTCCTTCATTCATCACCTGTCGAAACTCCCCTTCACGCTTTCTTCATTGATTTTTTTCTTTTAGAAATAATTGAATAATCTGGTGACCTGAAGCTGAATGTTCCTGTTACATATATAATAGCCTTGATGCAGGAGAGGTGAAAGCCATGTTTCAGGTTATTTGAAGTGATGGTGGTGTTAACTGTGTATTTTCTGTGCAGTGAGGAAAAGTAGGAATTCCATCATTTTGTTGGTCATAATGCTTTCCATCTTGAATTTCTTACAATTTACTGGTTTTGATAGAAGCTGGACATGGTGACATAAGCTTCTTCTTGACTTGATCTCAAGCAAGTAAGGAAGGGTTGTCTCTGGACCTCAGTGTTCATGACCAGGATTCCTGTTTGGAAAGGACAGGGAGGAGGCAGCATGCTGTTTGGAGTTTCAGGGAGAAGAAGCAGGTCCTGGTAGACATGAGACCCACTCTTGATACCTTCTCTGCAGTCTGCAGGCGAATTGGCGGGGGCTACAGATGCATCACATATGTGGACACTTCCAGATGGACATCTGAGAGCTGAATCTTCTTTGACAGTTTCCGGGGTGATGATTGTATGCACTGATGGGCAGCTACCATCCTGTGCTCCCTCTTCAAGTCTCTGTTTTTCAGACTCTTCTAATTGCACTGAAAATGTGTCTTGTAGAAACACTTCTGCTTCATTTCTATCTTGAATTCCATCTACCTTATGAATCTGACAGTCCAGGAAACTTTCAGGATTGAAACTCACATTCAAATTCTGCACAAAAAAAGAGGGAAAGCATCAAGACCATAACAGAGATACATAGGGTTTATGAGGAAATATTAGAGAATGGGGGGAGAGAATTTTAGCTGAGTCAGCTTCTGAAAGAGCTTCAATATAGCAAAGTCTGAATGGACAACTGGTTGTGTCCCTCAAACCCGAAGAAGTCTGAAATCTCACTTTAGCTCACTATGTTGGGGGAATTTCATTTAGAACTTTAGGATGATACCTGTTACCCGATGTAAAAAAAACCCAGTTCTTGAGGTTTATCTGTATCTTACCCTGTAATATCATTCCTAACTGTGAATGTACCTTCAATAATGTAATAAAAATATTTTAAAGACTTACCTTTATTGGTTTCTTGCACAGCTGTTCTAGAGTTTTCTTATGATCAGGGAGACTAGGCCATAAAACAGGCTTAATTCTGAAATAGGAGGAGGCACATTATTTTTGTTTATTTGTTTTGCTTTTATTTACTTATCTTCCTGTCACCCCCTTTCTCCCATTTTCTGAGTCAGGAATCAGGACAGCAAATTTATAATCTTGACTTTGTTAGAGCTAGCTGGGTGATCTTGGACAAGTTATCTGCTTGCTCTGGGCCTTAACCATCTATTAGTGATCCATGCTGTGACCAAGACCTAACAGAACTCTGGAGAAAATTCATAAGTCATGGCAAAAGTGCAGCTTGAAATTTAAATTTGACCTACTTATGAACTTCTCATATAAAAAAAGAACAACTTCTTATATTAGACCTTTTCCTTACCAACTGCAACTTCTCTGTTTTGATTTTTATGGTTTTTTAAATAAGAGTCTTCTGAGGTGTTTTCTGTGTCAAATGTGTCATTCTAAAATATGAACACTAAGGAGATTCATATGCACCATCTTAATATTCTTAATTCAAGAATATTAGAATTATCTTGAAATAAGAATATTAAGATGGTATGTATATATAAATTATCATTTTTATGATGAAGCAAACATGATCCTTTCGTGGGGTAGATCCCATGTAATCATCTTTTTTTAATTAGGTAAGGAATTTACCTTTTTTTCCATAATACTCCAGCCAAGATGACCATCAGAGCCACAGAGAAAAAACCTAGAATGCTGATAGTTACTAGAACAGGATTGATCTCCCCTAGAATGCAAGGATAGATAGCTAGTTAGCATATATTAAGCATAGTTAGGTGGAGAATTACATGGCACTTTGAGTTATTTAGTTGCTCAGGCACATTTACCTGATTACTTATTTCTTAAAAATTGCTCTCTGTGAATAAGATGGTGTACTAGCTTTATGGGGTAATTTTTCTTCACTAAGTGGCAGACCTAATGTGATTAGGTCCTGAACCTCTTTCACCTGACATATTGAAGTCATATGACATTAACGAGGAAACCAAGGGAATGGACAAATGATAACAAATTCTTGGCCGTGGATTATATAACTGAACTTAAGCAACAGGGAAAGTAGAGCGGGGATGAGAGGTGGACTGAAAATTAAATAGGGGCATTGCTGAAAGATCCTGGGGACTTTGGTGGTGGTGAGATGTATTAACTGTACATCAAAACCATAGGCATGAACAGAAAGGAAAAGAAATTGAGGAGGGTAGCAAGAAGCAGCAGAAAGGAAGTCACAGGGGGTTAGGGGCCAAAGGAATCAGGTACATTGGTGGTGGAGAAGAGCTAAATATCCAAACTGCAGAGTCAGCAACACTGAAAGCAGGAGCTCGAAGCCACAACCACCATGCTTAAAAATGTGCCTCTCTTGTTAGGAGAGATGAAGTAATGAAATTTGCTTATAAATGGATAGACATGGAGATTATCATGCTAAGTGAAATGAGTCAGAAAGAGAGGGACAGACATAGAAGGACTGCACTCATTTGTGGAGTATAAAATAACATAACATGAGGCTGACACTCAAGTACAGTAGATACAAGGGCTAGGAGGATTGCCCCATAGCTGGAAGCTTGCCTCAAGAGCAGAGGCGAGATAGCAGATGGAATAGAGAAGGGATCACTAAGAAAATGACGGCTTGAGGAACCGGTTGGGATGGGAGATGTGTGCTGAAAGCAGATTAAGGACCAAACATGATAACCTCTTAGTGTCTGTATTGCAAACCATAATGCCCAAAAGTAGAGAGAGAATATGAGAAATATTGTCTGCCATGGAGGCAGGGGGAGAAATGGGGGGTATACTGGGGATATTGGTGGTGGGGAATGTACACTGGTAGAGGGAAGGGTGTTTGATCATTGTGTGATTGTAACCCAAACATGAAAACTTGTAACTATCTCACGGTGATTCAATAAAATTTTTAAATATGTGCCTCTCAGAGAAGAAAAGTGCTTTCCATAGAGGCAGGTGGGGTGGGATGGGGGTCCAGAGGGATGAGGGGAGGGAAACTAGGGACACTGGTGCTGGGAAATGTGCACTGGTGGACAGATGGGTGTTAGAACACTGTATGGCTGAAATCTAATCATGAACAGCTTTGTAAGGGTCTATTTCACAGTGATTCAATAAAAAAAACATAAAAAAATTTAAAAAAATGTATGTGTCTGGTGGTGGAAAATGGACACTGGTGGAGGGATGGGTATTTGATCATTGTATAATCGAAACCCAAGCACAAAAAATTGTAAATCTACAACTGTACCTCATAGTGTTTCACTAATAATAAAAAAAAATGTATGTGTCAAGGATACAGTTTGAAGGGTAGGAGGGAACCTGGAGACACTAATGGAGGGAAGTTGGCAATGGTGGTAAGACTGGTGTATATCTAAAAGTCAACTCTGAATAACTTTGTAAATCACAGTGTCTTAATGAAAAATAAAAAAAATTAAGAAATCCGAATGGCTAAAAGACACATGAGAAAATGTTCCACATCATTAATCATCAGGGAGATGCAGATCAAAACCACAATGAGGTATCACCTCACACCACAGAGACTGGCCCATATCCACAAGAACAAAAGCAACCGGTGCAGGCGCGGATGTGGTGAGAAAGGGACACTCCTTCACTGTTGGTGGGAATGCCGACTGGTTCAGCCCTTTTGGAAAACAGTATGGATGATTCTCAAGAAATTAGAAATTGAGCTCCCAATTTGATCCAGCAATACCACTCCTGGGAATATATCCCAGAGAGGCAAAAAAGTATAGCCGAAGTGACATCTGCAATTGTCTGTTTATTGCAGCACTCTTTACAATAGCCAGAATCTGGAAAAAACCTGAGTGCCCGAGAACAGATGACTGGTTGAAGAAACTCTGGCACATTTACACAATGGAGTACTATGTAGCTGTTAGAAAAGACGAAGTCATGAAGTTTACATACAAGTGGTACTACATGGAAAGTATCATGTTAAGTGAAATGACTCAGAAAGAAAGGGATAGACATAGAAAGATTGCATTCATCTGGGGAACATAAAGTAACAAAATAGGAAACTAACACCCAAGTATGGCAGAGATTAGTACCAGGAATTTTACTCAATGACCCGGAGGACAACCACACATGTTAGGGGAAGGGGGAGCTCAGAAAGAGAAGGGAACACCAAATAAAAGGTGTTGGGAGGATCCGCCCACGATGGGAGAGCATGCTGAGGGTAGACTGTCGACCAAGCATGATTGCCACTCAATGCCTCTTTTGCAGACCATGGCACTCAAAAGGAGAGAGAGGGAAATGCCCTGCCACAGAGGCAGGGTGGGATGGGGGCTGGGGGGGGGGGAGGGGATGCTGGGATCCGTGGTGGTGGGAAATGCGCACTGGTGGCGGGATGGGTGTTTGATCATTGTATAATCGAAACCCAAGCACAAAAATGTGTAAGTCTACAACTGTACCTCATGGTGCCTCACTATTAAAAAATAAATAAATATAAAAAAAATAAAAATATTAATTAAAAACCCCACAAACATTCACACTAGTATGTGGCCTAATCAATAATTTGATAAAATTACAAAAAGGGAGATAAAAAAGATAGCAGTGTTCCCTTCCATAATTCTACCACTAAGAGAAAGAAGAGGGTCAGGAGGATTAGACAGAAGTTTCATCATGAAGTCCCAACATTTTTAAGAGTCAGAAAAGGAAGCTGGTGTGGGAGAGCAGTTCCCTGTCTATGATCACAGACTAAGTCCCCAGTCTGACAGCTTTCTGGTTGTTTACAAAAGCCATACAACTTGCAGGTTGTTCTCAAATGCAATGCACTAGTGGGGAGCAAAGATTAGTCACTTATTACCTGGGCTGTAAGTTTCAGGAGTTCTGAAGTGATAGCTTGGACTCCATTCACTCCAGAAGCCTTTGTAATAGTCGAAGGGGAGAGAACGAACTTTAATTTCATACACTGCATCAGGTTGGAGTGTTCTTTGTAACAGTGTCAGCTTTGTAAGGGTTAAATTCACATACTGCAGAGCAAAAATAGAGGTGTGGTCAAGACCTCCCAGATCATTTCCAATGAGATGTCTTTAGTCACTGTCCTTAGGGTGCTTATGTTTATTAGGAGGAATTTTGACCCATGAAAGGCTCAGCTGTAGAATTGAGGGCAGTTTGTGACCTCCGAAATGATGCTCCACAAGGGACCAAAGTGAATAACGGACAAAGGTTATTACTTATGTGTGTTGGACATTCCCAATTGGGGAGGATAGAATTACTTCCAGCACCTTACTTTCCATATTTAATTGCTTCATTTTCTTTCTCATCCCTTTAAGCTCCCAAACACGGGTGAAAGGAAATGGTAAGTTAGTGAGCAGGAACTATTTCACTTAGAGACATAATGTTTTGTGTTGTAAATAGCAATATAAAAACATCTCTTCTGCACTGTGCATTATCTTTAAGAAAACAAAGCACTCAATCTAATTGATGTCTAGATGGCAATATGCATTGATGTTGACATTTATATTTGTTGGGTTATTAGGTTTAATATACTTACTGAAATTATGTATTTCTTATTTTGTGAGTCACTTTTAAGTTTTGTGTCATTTTTCATTGTTACATGCATCCTTTCCTTAACAACTTATAAGACCTATTGAATTATTAGGATTTTAATAAGTTTTCAGTTGTGTGTGTGTTAACTTTATATTAATCTCTAATTTACTTTTCACTATTGATTATTTCATGTGTTGTTATGGTTGTCTTTATTTTTAAGTAGTCCCATTAAACTTTTTCTCTCCTATTGCTTTTATGTTTAGAGAGTTTTAATCTCAAGATTGTATAATCACTCACGTCTATTTTTTCGTTTGTTTGAGTTTTATATACTATCAGGAGAGTTGTGTGTGTGTGTGTGTGTGTAAAATTTCAGCTATATGGACTTAATTTAAGATATTTAACTTAATTTCTTCAGAAACTGCTAACTAATTGTAATTGTCCTGGCACTATTCAGACTTCTAGGTTTCTTTATCCTTTCTCCCTCTATATAATTGTTTTTTCTTTGGTGTAATTTTTAAATGCATGGTCAAGGGGAGCCCCAAGATAATCCAGTGTGTGCATATATGTGGGAGAGTGGACGTGTCAGGGTAATAAGAATGAGAAAATAAATTAGGGCAGGCATCACATTTTTAATAAGTAGCATACAGTCGCATATTGCAAATAGGCAAGGCTGATTCTAGGCTAAGAAAAGAAAACAGTGTGAATAAACAGGCACTTTTCCCACTTTTATTTTATAGGAGTGATAGCCCAGCAGTAGGGCATTTGCCTTGCACGCGGCTGACCCAACCAACCCCGGCTATTCCTCCACCCCTCTCAGAGAGTCCAACAAGCTACTGAGATTATTTCGTCTGCCCAGCAAAGCCTGGTAAGCTCCTCGTGACATATTTGATATGCCAAACATAGTAACAAGTCTCACAATGGAGACGTTACTGGGCCAGCTCGAGCAAATTGATGAATAATGGGCAGACAGTGACAGTGATATTATATATATTTAGTACATTTAATATATTTATATAGTTAAATTCCTAGAAATAATTTTGTTAGTATATTTGCATATATTATGCATTTTATAATGAATTAACATAGCTGAGCTACATACCTTCCAATCATTTTCCTTTTTTTCCTGGCGGTAAGCTACCTCATGTATCAGGTTTTTCACATAAGACTTGTTCCAGTGTGGTGTATTAAATGTCACTTCAAAATCATTTGCTTCCTCACGATATGTGACTTTTGTGTCAAATGGAGCTTCAGGTTTCACTGGAAAGGAAAGAGAAATAATGCTAGTCTATAGGGCAGTGAGGAGATAATGATACTTTTGAAAATCTATCTCATCTGAAAAGAATCACATTTCCTTTCTGTGTTGATAACTAACTATCAGTTCAGAAAACCAATTTTTGGATCAAAGCCTGACTACATTTCCCAGGATTCTTTGCAGTATGGTTTGATCCTATCAACCCTGACCCTTGAAATGATCTGGCATCATTCTCTCATCCTGCCCCAACTCATTGATCCTGTGTGACAATCCAGGCTTACTTCCTTTTTATTATCTGGAGTCAAATGTGGAAGACAGTAGAACCACAGGATAAAAGAGCTCTGAATATTAGCTAGAAAAACCTAAACCACAGGCTGGAAAAAAACTTTTGACTCTTAAATAAGCAAGATATAAATGTATAGGCTTGAGATAAAAGCCTTAGGGCTTACCTATTACAGCAGTTAATGCGATGTTATACTAAAACACATTATTTGCTTTCTGAGTACTGGAGAACTAGTTGTTAACTAATCTCAAAGCAGGAGTATTTGAATGGTTTTTCTGAATTATTCCAGTAAATTCAAGTTATGAAGTGGGAGCTTGCACCTCAGGTATGTTACTTGTAGTTAAGAGTCTGCATCGTGGCCCATACTCCTAACTTCCAGTCAGGACCCAAAGTATGGTCTCTTCACTGATATCTTTCTGCCTCCCTCACACAAAGTTGTTAGAATCATGTGCAGAGTGTGTGAAATGCTGTTAGAGGAAGTGTAATATTAGACTGAGAAGAATAAACCCTGAGAGAGGTAGTGGATGCTTGTAAGTCATGTGAATCAGACAATGTCTTTTCATGAATGGGGGCTTCCTTGTTCCTTTAAAAGCTTTTCTTTCATTCAAATCTGGAGAGTTTGTTGTTTAAGGAGTCACATTTTTGCATGGTTATTTTTGACAGAGTTGGGGGAACTCAGGTAAAATCTTACCTAGACCTATGGTGAAAAGAGAGTGTATATCTTTCCAATTTTCACTTAGTGTACTGAAGTAGATTTTAGGCTATCAGAGGTGGGTTTTGAGACCAACATTTGGGCAAGTGCTTTGGACTGTGATTGAGTTTGGCCCAGTTATTACTGTAGTTATTCGCTCATAATAGTGACTCTCCTGCATTGCTCCAGAGGTGCTGAAAAAAAGGGAAGTGACTATTCTTTTATTCTTGGATACCTTTTTTTTTTGTAAAGAAGTTTATATATATATTTTATCCTTAGATACGCTATGGGCTGGAGTAATAGCACAGCACTAGGGCGTTTGCCTTGCACACAGGCAGCCCAGCAGAGCCAGGTTCGATTCCTCCGCCCCTCTCAGAGAGCCCGGCAAGCTACCCAGAGTATCATGCTCACATGGCAAAGCCTGGCAAGCTCCTCGTGATGTATTCGATATGTCAAATGCAGTAACAAGAAGTCTCAAAATGGAGACGTTACTGGGCCTGCTCGAGCAAAATCAATGAACAACGGGAGGACAGTGTTGTGTTGTTGTTGGATATCCTATAAAAAAAGAGAGAATGTCCTGGAGAGACATTCTCCAGGAGGAGGTACAAACTTTTGCAACTATATGATTCCTTGACTTGTTTCCCTTTCCCAAAGACTGTGTATAATGACAGAATTAAAGGAAGAAGACTAATATTGACTACAGACTTAGTAGACACTAAGTTTTTTATATATATATAAATGCATTGGTCAAGTGTTTATATAAATATATAATCACTTGATCACTTGACATCCTGTTATTCATCGATTTGCTCAAGCGGGCACCAGTAATGTCTCCATTTGTTCCTGTTGCGTGCTAGTGTAGCCCAGTGGTGTCTGCTCGTTCTAGGAACAAGAAGAGCCTCAAACCGATCATTCAGGGTCTTGACAAAGTCTGACCATAAATATATAATACATCTAAAATATATATTACGCTGGATTCAGAAGATGACAAAAGATTCAGGAGAGGGTAAGGTGGAAGGTAAAATGGAGACTTTGGGTCAACAAAAGGGGCCCCACCCAGTTCAACACTTTCTACAGATCAACTCTTTCTGCAAGATGTTGGTGTCAGTCATCTCCTGTCATTGCTGAGTATGAAGTCTATTCAAATTCTTCCACAGAAAGATTTACCATACACTTTAAAACTTTCATTTATGTAAAGATATGCATTAGAAAACTTTCTATTCTTTATTGCAAATATTTTTAATAATTTTTCTAATTTTAGTGCAAAGTTGGGCTGAGAAATAGCACCGCAGGTAGGGCATTTGCCTTGCACGCGGCTGACCCAGGTTTGATTCCTCTGCCCAACTCGGGCAGCCCAGCAAGCTACCTAGAGTATCTCGCCCACACGGCAAAGTCTGGCAAGCTACCCATGACGTATTTGATATGCTAAAAACAGTAACAGCTGTGAGACGTTACTGGTGCCCGCTCAAGCAAATTGATGAACAACGCGAGGCTAGTGCTACGGTGCTAGTGCAAAGTTTAGACACAATCAACATTTTTGATACCTAAACTGTGACAACTATACCCCCATAAATAGCATCTTACCTATGTGGGTGATGCTTACTTGTCTGCAAATTACATTCTTTCTTCTAAGCTTCACACATATTTTGCTATCTCCAATCAGCAAAAAATTCTTTGTCTCTAAGAAGTAAGTGTCTTGAAGTTTATGAAAATCCAAGCATTTTACGTACAAAAGGGCCCCACTGTAAAAATAAAAAGGTACGCTTTTAATTCAAGTTGGAGTTACTGTATGTAAGAGACTAGCATCAGTCATATGGTTCGATTGTATGAATTCAATTCTGACCGCTGGTATGTGATTGGTATGTGCATGTGAAATATCTATCTATATTTAATCCTTTCTGTAAAGGTAAAAGGTAAAGGTAAAGGCCCTCCCGTTGATCGTCGATTTGCCCAGTAATGTCTCCATTGGAGACTTTGTTGTTACTGTGTCTGGCATATCGAATACGTCACGGGGAGTTTGCCAGGCTCTGCCGTGCGGGCGAGATACTCTTGGTAGCTTGCCAGCCTCTGCGAGAGGGACAGAGGAATCGAACTTGCGTCGGCCATGTTGGCTGCGTGCAAGGCAAACGCCCTACTGCTGTGCTATCACTCCAGGCCTTTCTGTAGGGAGGACTAAAATATGACTACTTGATGTAGTTTACATTAAGTGAAATCCAAAGGGTGTCTTGAAAATAATAAAACAATTTTTGATTTAAAATAATTTAGCATTGAAAATTAAATGGTTTGTTTATGAATTAACAGAATTGATTTTGATGTTATGCAAGAAAAAATTGAAGAGATAAAACCTGTAAAGAAACTTCTACCAATAAAGTTCAAAAAAATGATCAAAACAGTCAAAAGGGCATTAAATTCTCTCTCTCCCTCTCTCCCTCTATTTTTTTCTATATGCATATGTATATATGTATTTAATGAATTGCTGAAAGGATTTTTCAGAGGTAATATTGATAGCACAGCGGGTAGGGCGTTCGCCTTACAAGCGGCCAACATGGCCGACCCGAGTTCGATTCCTCCACCCCTCTCGGAGAGCCCGGCAAGCTACCGAGAGTATTCGATATGCCAGACACAGTAACAACAAAGTCTCCAATGGAGACGTTACTGGGCCCCCTTGAGCAAATCGACGATCAACGGGAGGGCCTTTACCTTTACCTTTACCTTAATATTGATTGTGCTCAACTTTCACTTTCACAGAAGACTTTAAAACTCAAGTCTTCCCATTAACCCTAGCTTAATATGTAGTAGTAATGTTTTAGGGTTAAATTCAATCACTTCTGTAACCTCTTTCCAAAAAAAATCAGGACACCAGGAAATGGAGAAAGAAAGAATATTGCCTAGGAGAAAATAACATCAAATATGCCAAATGTACTCTTTAACAGTCAGTCATATCTTTATTGTTTTTTTGAAAAATTCAAAAACAAAATTTTGCATAGTTGGTATTGCTGTGTATTTTTAAGGGTCAAAACTTAGAAATGAGAAAGTTATAAAAACTAAAGACACAAAATCTAGTGTCTCTGAAGATACATATAAACTATGCCTCATAAACCATTAATTGGATTTATCATTTTTAAAGATATTCTAAGGCCTCCTTGGTTATGGCAATAGGTTGAAGACTCTAGAAGTAATTAAGCAGAGATTTCATAATTTAAGAATTATTCTCAAAAGAAGAGAAACTGGAGATTATTTATCCAAATTAACTAATAACTAAAATTAATACTGTTCAAAACAGAGGGCTGGAGATACTGTATAGAGATATTTAAGGCACTTGCTTTGCACAGGAGTACATGACCAGCCTAGTTCTATCCCCAGACAATCTCTGAGCACTGCCCTAAACAATCCCTGAACGTAGAGCCAGAAATAAGCCTTGAGGAGTGCCAGGTACTCCTGGCAAAACACCAAAACAAAACAAAGAGACTTAACAGAATCCAGAGTTTCACTAAATATACTAGTCAGCAATCCATTGCTTAATAATGGGAGTACATTCTGAGAAATACATTAGATGATTTCACTCTTATGCAAAGATCATAAAGTGAAATTATAAGCCAATAGCATATCTTTTGTTAGACACTTAGGCTATGTTTTATGACTTATCAGAACTATTATACTACATGGAGTCTATCAATGACCAAAATGTCATTGACACAGGACTGTTGTATTCTTTCTGTAATCAAAAAGTTACTGCAAATAATCAGTTGAAAGAAAAAATGAGTCAGAGGAAAGGAAAATCAGTTAATAAAAACTAAGGATGAACTGGATGTAACAGAAATATTTATTTTGGGTGGGGTGTGAAAGCGTATGCAACTGTGCTCAGGACTTATCTGCACCAGGGCGGGATCAAGGTGTCATCAAACCCAGGTCAGGGATTCAAACCTGAGTGTGTCATGTGCAAGACAAATGCCTTGCCAGTTGTTCTCTCTCAACCCAATATAAAAGATCTTTAAAGCAGCCTTTGTAGGTATTTTCAAGAACTGAACAAAAACCACTGTCATATTTATTAAACTGATATTAAATCAGTTGAAATTGGAAACTGTGAAAAAGAATAAGATAAAGATTATGCTCTCTGGGTGGAGGAATGAGTACGCAAACAGTGTACGACTGAAATGTAATCATGCAAGTTTGTAAATCTGTAACTGTATGTCACAGTGATTCATTAAAATTAAAAAGTAATAAAAAATTAAAAAATAAGAAATTTCTGCATGAAGTTCTCTGGGCCGGGTTGGGAAACCTCCCCCACCTCCCTGTATTTCTAAAAGCCCCAGCAAGCCACATCCACACCCCGGAGCTTTCACCCAGTTAAAAATCTACTCCAGTTGTGCCTTCCCAATAAAAATACTGAACAACTTGAAAAATATAGATTGTGCTCTCACTTCTAACTGGAACCTAAAAGATAAAAAAAATGCAAAACCAAATTCATAGAATTCATAGATACAAACATCAGCTTGGTGACTACTAAAGGTTGAGGGTAATGTGTAATTATCTGAAAATTAATAAAATATTCTTCCTCAACTTGATAAGGGACATTTTACAAAATGTCTATATTTAGTCTATTTACTGGTGACTTTGTGAATATTTTTATCCTGTAAGAAAAAGACAAAATAGTAACATACTCTCTAAACACTTTAGAATTAACAGTGTACTGAAATTCCTAGGCATTAAATTATTAAGATGAACAAAAAATGAACATATAACTTAGAGACCAAAAAGGACATCTTTTGATTGCAGATATCTTTGTTCATGTGGAAAATAAAGATTCTTCAATACAATTAGTAAGTAAGTAAAGTAAAGGCCCTCCCGTTGATCGTTGATTTGCTCGAGCGGGCCCAGTAACGTCTCCATTGGAGACTTTGTTGTTACTGTGTCTGGCATATCGAATACGTCACGGGGAGCTTGCCAGGCTCTGCCGTGCGGGCGAGATACTCTCAGTAGCTTGCCGGGCTCTCCGAGAGGGGCGGAGGAATCGAACTCGGGTCGGCCATGTTGGCTGCGTGCAAGGCAGACGCCCTGCCCGCTGTGCTATTGCTCCAGCCCAATACAATTACAACAACTAATGCAGTGAATTTACCAAGGTCAGTATAACACAATTATAAGAACTAATAGAGTGAATTCACCAAGATTATACAATGTATTTATATAGGCTCAGATCAAACAATTGGGAATTTAATTTTTAAAAATAGCAGCTTCATTTGCATTTTTAAAAATAGAAGATTTAATTTTTTTTAAAAATAACACCCTCATTTACACTAGAAATAAAAACCTAAAGTGATTAGAAATAAAATTAGAAGATATTCAAGCAGAAGATATTCCAGCAGAAGATCTTAATTTTCTTTGTACTAGAAATGACAAAACATCTCTGATAGCAGTATAAAAGATACCTAAACAAATAGGACGTTACTTTCATGGATTTTCAAATTCAGTGAAACAAATTGACATATAAAATAACAATTTCAACAGGATTTGGGAGAAATTTAAAGTGGACTGTAAATGTGTATGTATGTGTGTGTGTGTGTGTAATACAAAAAACTCAGAATCGTCGAAACAACATTGAAAAAGTAAAACAGCACTTTAAAATTTTTGTGTCAGGAAAGTTTGACACTGGCATAATGGCCAATGACCAGCAAATAAATCAGTGGAAAATACAGGGAATCCAGGCAGAGACACAAATCACAAATTTATGGACAAAAGCCCTCAAAATTAACTCATAAATTCAATGAAAACTATAGTGGTTTCTGAAGAAAAGAGGGATAGAAGGAAAAAGCAGAGGGGCACTGAAATTTTAGTGTTAAGAGTGTTAAGAATTGCACACATGGTAAGAATTGCACATATGGGTCTGGAGCAATAGTACAGTGGGTAGGGCGCTTGTCTTGCATGGGGCTGACCCAAATTTGATTCTCAGCATCCCATATGGTCCCTTGAGCCTGCCAGGAATAATCCCTGAGAGCAGAGCCAGGAGTAAATCCTGAGCACCACCAGTGGGGCCTCCCACCCTCCAAAAACAATTGCACACATTTAGCACTATGAGACTATATTCCCAAAATTCTCTAATATTATAAATCAATGGTAATAATTAATAAAGATAGGCAGCAATAAATTCAATGGGAAAAATAATTTTAGCAAATTTTCTGGTTCAACAGAGCAAATCAATGGAAAATTTAAAGCTCAATCTCAGGAAAATTATTTAGATCTCTATTATAGATTCAAGAATAGAGGCTAAACTAAAAAAAAAATCTAGAAGACAAAATAGGAAAATATTTTCCTGATTCTAAAAGTATGTTAGATTACTGTAGACACATAAAAATAAAGACAAAGAAAAAAATATTAAGCTATATCAGAATTAAAAATGTGTACTTATTAAAACACACATTAATATAACCTATAGACTGGCATGCTCACAAGACCTTACGGTGCGGGGGATTAAATGGAGTCTCACAGGTGCAGAGCATGGACTCCTGTTCCATCGCCCCAGGTTCTGGATTACTTTTGTTTGTTTTGTTTTTAGGCCACACCCAGCAGTGCCCAGGCCTTTCTTTGGTCTATTTTCTCATGAATCACTCCTGGTGGGGCAGGAAGACAAAGCAAATGGCCTACTTGTGGCTGTAACTTTCTGCCCTCCCTTATTATATTTTTAATAAATATTGACCTAGTGTATACAGACAAGATTAACTACCATTTGTAGGCATTTACTGCATACCCAAACTAATCCTTCTGTCTCAGCGTAAGTTCGTCAACAGGATCAGAGAGCTAAAATCATTCTCTGGCTCGTGAGGATCTGAGAACTAAAATAAACTTCCATTCAGCCCCCAGTACCACATGGCCTCCTGAGCATACCAATCTATAGATCATATTAATGTGTGTATTAATAAGCACATATTCTCTGGGTCCCAGAGCTAGTAAATGGCTCTGAGAGTTGAGTTTAGCTACTCCTTTCCTAGAAACTTTGTCTTGTCCTTTCAGCTGCTTGATAACTAGCTAAATTTTATTTATTTATTTATTAGATGCAGAGAGGGGACTGTGCTTAGCCTGGGCTCACTCTATACTTATCACTCTATACTTAGGAGTGATCCCTGTCAGTGCTCAGGTCATCATATTGGGTCCTGAGGATCAAAATGAGGTTGACCACATGCAAGGTAAGGGTTTAATCACTGAACTATCTTTCCAGCCCCAAATCTATTACATTTATTTTTTTGTGGGAGGCATGAGGGGAGGAAATCTTAGGGGACACAAAGGAGTGTATGGGGGGTGGCGGGGGGGGGGCTATTCACTGTGCTCAGGAATGACCCCTAGTGATACTTGGGAACCATGTGTGGTGCCAGCAATTAGGACTGGAATTGTTGGCATATAAAGAAAGTTCCTTATCTCGTGCTCTATCACTCTAGTCTTTAACTTCCAGTGAATGACATTTTAGGTTTATCCATAAGAGTGAATTTCTTTTCTTTTTGTTTGTTTGTTCGGGGGCCACACCAGGTGATGCACTCAGAAATTAGTTCTGGTGATGCTCTGGGGACCATATGGTAGATCAGGCTTTGAACTCCAGGTTGGCTGTGTGCAAGGACAGTACTCTACCCACTGTATTATTGTTCTGGCCCCACATGTGGATTTGTACTAACACTGCCACACTGCCTTCTCTGTACTTCCTTCTTCAAACAACAACGCCTGGGGATTCTGAGCCTGGAAGGTATATTTTTATCTGCCTGTGTGGCATGTTGGTAATCCAGTTCTCTGTTTGGCTAATTTAAAACCATCTTTGAGAATTGAATTCACTCATTAAACTCTAATTAACTTAATTTTAAGCCTGGGAGACTAATGTCTAGATCAGGCAGCTAAAAATTTCATCTAAGATAATGTCCAGTTATGGGAGATAAGAGTTAGATTTTATGAACAATTCCACATGTATAATGACTCTAGTGGACTGTATAATATTTAGCTTTTTTATAAATTTATGCTACCAGAAAAAATCCTAATAAAGTAGTTTCATTGCAGAAAAGAAAATCGGGCTATCAACAAGGTGCATTTCTAAAAAATGAGTTTGACATGATCTACAGTGCTGACTCTGAACTTAGGAGTTCCACCAACCCCATCTCAAGGTGTCAGTAACTGTTTATGAAACAGTCACTATCCACATGCAGGGGACTTAGGTTTGAGAGCTCTGCTAGGAGTGATCCCTGAGTGCAGAGTCAGAACAAGCCTTAAACACCTTCCAGTGCCTGCCAAAAACAAAACAAAACAAAACAAAACAAAATCAAAAATGGTAACTTGCCCAAGGTACCATAATCTACCAATTTGTACTTACTGTTTCATACTTGAACATGTCTTTGTTTTTATTTTTTAATTGAATCACTGTGAATTGCAAAGTTATAAAGTTATTCATGTTAGTTAGTCACAGACATAGAATGTTTCAACACCAATTTTTCACCAGTGTTCAGTTCCCTCCACCAGAGTCCCTATTTCCCCTCCCTCCTCCCAGCCCCCTCCTCTATCATTGTATATTTTCCCTCCCTCCTCCCAGTCTCCTCCTCTATCATTGTCCCTTAACTGACTTGACTCCCATCCCCCAACAATGGCAAGCTTCCCTGCAGTTCCCCAGCTTTTTGTTTCCATTGCTATGGGTGTTAGTTACTCCCTACTGTGTTTTCTTTATATCTCACATATGATTGAGATCATTCTGTGTCTGTCCCCCTTCCTCTGAATCATTTCAATTACTGTGATACTCTACAGACACTCTCCAGATTGAATATATTTTAAGACAATCCCTTTCCAACCAAATTATCTGAATCCAACAGAACAACCCAATGAGGAATATTCATGACATAAAATAGCAAGACTTCTCAAAGGAAGTGGGAAAGTTTGCTAAAGTGGGCCAGGAAGTGGTCAAAGAATGGGCAAGTGAAAGTGGACAAAGGTCAGTCTTGATCTCCACAGGTGAAACCAAGAATCTCTCCATTGATAAACTTTTGGTCACAAAAATGAGCCCATCATTTGAATGAATTGTTCAGCTGTTTCAGGGTAGTCTAATAACACCGTAGATTCTAGGTGCTGTAGGCTCTTATTTTCTGGATCCATTTTATTTCTGTAAATTGTGTTATTTAAGTGACTAATAGAGGCAGATATTTTTTAATGATACTATTAAATTCAGTAAGATCACATTTATCCAAATAAAAACTATTATATTAGTGGATACAGGATGTCCCAATAGATTGATTTAAGACAAAAAATCCAGGATTTATATGTCTGTCCTCTTCTACGTGATGGGTTATTGCTGAATATCTGTGGAATTTAAGAAGCCTATTACTACTTCTGGACCTTGACTGGTTCTGTTCATCAGAAAACTAAAATTAGGTTATTTGATAGGCATTTGAAGATAATCACAAGATAGAATTTCAAGTTTCAATTTTTTTCTTGTCAATGGAAATAGAAACCAGAGCTGATCTGGGGATGAGAAAGAAGAAAAAGCTTTTAGAGCTTTTCAAAATTTCAAAACAGACTTTGTATTTGCCTTTTCTCTGAGGCCAATGAATTTAGAAGCCAATTTGTTCTTTTGGACTTTTTTGAAAATTGATATTGAGAATATCATCTGAAGTCTAACTGTATTAAGGGATCGAAATGAATATTCATAGAATTGTTACTGACTCTTATTATTATTGCATACTAGAACGTTCTTCTGTGTTATTTACATGTGTGAAATTAGTCAACACAACTTCCTTATATAGTAGTATGTCTTATTTAACAGCTAGAAGAATTGAGGTACAGGTTAATTATATCACTATTTCATATGTAGAAAGTATTTAGGTTAGAAATAAGGCAACTGAAATAGAGAGTGAGAGTTGAGAATAGTAGGTTGTCTTATTCAGGCAGTCAGATTTTGGAGGAAAGAGAGTCCTTGAAGAACCAGAAGTTATGTAGGCTATGAAGTGGGGAAAGATTTGTGATCTCCAAGATCCACATCATCATTTGGATGCAGGAGCAGAACCTGAAAAGCGAGTCCATGAGAGCTTCTTTGCTTAAGAATGTTGGTTATGGATGTGGGGATTTCTGGAAGTTTAGGAGATTGGTTTTATTTTGATATGATAATTAGTTCCCACACTCCTTTCTTATCAGTCATGGCTATGAACCACATGAGAACAGAGACCAAGAATTTTTAAGTAGTCCAAGAACCCCTACCTCCCTTATTGCTAGACATTTCTCACCATATTTCAAATTCCAGATTGGTGCTGTTGATATCTGGGTCATCAAACATACAGGTTAGTGAATGCTCGTGAGTTAGTGAGTTCACTTCCAACTGACTGTAGCAGGAGAAAGAATAGTCATCCTGTTCTGCATCTTCAAAATCTCCTGTGGAGGAACAAACCTGCAGTTGTTAATGAGGCAAATAAATGCACCCTTCTGAAATCTGGAGTGATATATGTGGAAGGTAGTCCATTGGGGCAGTCCTGAAGGGGTGAATATAACTTATTGAAAGAAGGAAAACCCATGGCCAAAACACACACACACACACGCACACACATACACACAACACACATACACACCCATAAAACAATGAGTAGTTTTCTAGCAGAAAAGGAATCTTAACAATATTCTTCTCAAGTTTGTTTATTTATTTATTTATTGAATACCTGTGAGAACAGCCACAAAGCCTTTCAGTTCAAGTCTCAGTCGGTCATACAATGATCAAACACCCGTCCCTTCACCAGTGCACATTTTCCACCACCAAGAACCCCAGTATACCCCCTCCCACCCATCCCTCGCCTGTGTGGCAGATTTCCACTTTACTCTCTCTCTCTACATTAATCACATTCAATATTATGACAAAAGACCCAGCATTATTATTTGGAATTTTCCCCGACATTCAGACCTGCCAAAAAGACATCATTAGATAATTTGTTTTCTATTGCTGATTGTGAAGAGCATATGACGCTGTGTGGCCACAATAGCGGCCACGTGAATTTGGATTTCTAATATTTTAGTAATAAATCTGAAGAGATTACTGCCAAAAGTCGCTGGGTTCCGAGATTGGTTTGTGTGCCTCTGGGATCATGGTTGTTCAGAAGCCAGAGGAGGCATTTGAGGGTGGCAACCCGAAGCATTGTCTTGGCTGGGAGCAGGGCCGATTCCATCCCCCATCCCATGAGGCCCCATGTGCCTTGTCAATGCAATCTCATACCTGACTGTTCATTAGGCTCTAAAAGATGCAGGCCACTGTGCCATCGCCGCAAGGGGGGACAGGCAGAGGGACAGACACCCTCCCCTCCCTGGACGGCATAGCACCATAGTTAAATGCATAGTCCAGATGCATTTCGATTGGGCATTATATTTTGCTCAGAGTTCTTCTCAAGTTTTAAAAATTAAGTATTCATAGTTAAAAATTTGGAGGACATTGGCCAACATCTGGAGGTACTTAAGGCTTACTCCAAGCTCTATGCTCAGGAGTCACTTCTTTTCTTGGATCAAACTGGGGTTTATTCTTCTGAAAGGCCAGGTTGCATTAAACATTGTAATTTCTTTCTGGCCCTCCAAGTTTTGTTTGTTTAAGAAACTTTAATTTATTTTTTTTTGGTTTAGGTGCCACACCAGATGATGCTCAGGGAACCATACAGGATGTCTGTGATCAAACTCAGGTGTGCTGCATGCAAAGGTAGTGCCTTATGGACAGTAATATCTCTCCGGATCCCCCTCCAAGTTTTATTTTAAATAAAGGAAGATGAATAATAGTCTAAAGTTAATTTTTAAAAAAATTCTTTTTGACCACACGTGGCAATGCTCAGGGATTTCTCCAGGCTCTGTGCTCAGGAATCACTCCTGGAAGTGTTTGGGGGACCATATGGGATGTCTGTGACAGAGTTCAGGTGTACATGCAAGGTAAACTCCTTATACTATGGCATCAGCCCCTGAAAGTATCTTTTTAAAGAGGTAACTATATTTTGCCTAAATAAGTGCCTGGGTAAAAATATTATTGATGATCTCCATATGTGACTAATTTATTTGAGGCAACTTATCTTTTTTAAAAATTTTTATTAGTGAAACACCATGAGGTACAGTTGTAGACTTACAAATTTTTGTGCTTGGATTTCAATTATACAATGATCAAGTACCCATCCTTCTACCAGTGCCCATTTTCCACCACCACTGATCCCAGTATCCCTCCTACCCCCAATTTCCCCCATCCCACCTTGCCTATGTGGCAGGGCATTCCCTTTTGTTCTCTCTCTCCTTTTGGGTGCTGTAGTTTGCAAAAGAGGCATTGAGTGGCCAATTATGTTTGGTCTATAGTCTACTTTCAGCATGCATTGCCCATCCTGGGAGAATCCTCCCAATACCCTTTATTTGGTGCTCCCTTCTCTATCTGAGCTCCCTTTTCCCCTAGTATGTGTGGTTGGCCTCCAAGCCATGGAGTGAACCTCCTGGTACTTATCTTGGCTATTCTTGGGTGTTAGTCTCCTATTTTGTTACTTTATGTTCCCCAGATGAATGCAATTTTTCTATGCCTGTCCCTCTCTTTCTGACTCATTTCGCTTAACATGATACTTTCCATGTAGTACTACTTGTATGCAAATTTTGTGACTTCATCTTTTCTAACAGCTACATAGTACTCCGCTCTGTAAACGTACCAAAGTTTCTTTAACCAGTCATCTGTTCTCGGGCACTCAGGTTTTTTCCAGATTCTGGCTATTGTAAACAGTGTTGCAATGAACAAACAAGTGCAGATGTCACTTCGACTATACTTTTTGAGGCAATTTATCTTAAGCTACTAAATGAGGCACACATTATTAGGAAGAATAGATTTGACACGAGTGGTAGGCTTTCCATGAATATTACTGATACCTAAAAAATTTTGTTTTATTAAAACAGCATGATTTACAAATTTACTTATAGTTGAGTTTTAAGTGTACAATGTTCCAGCACCAGCCCCTTTACCAGTGTGAACTTCACTTCACCAAAATTCCCAGATTCCCTTCATTCATCAGAGCCACTAAAGCTTGTCACACTGACAGGCACATTTTTAAGTTTGGTTTTTGAAGTCTGGATCTCATGTTAACAGTATTGTTGACTCTATGGTTTGACCTTTTCTATAGGAACCATATCTTATAGATATTAACACAATTCTGACAAGAGACAATCTGAATTTTTTTTTGGCATTCACTTTCTGGAAGCACAGCCTTTCACAGATACTATTTGATTACTAAGCTGAGATGAGGATCCAGTGATTAAATAGACACTTTATACATACATTTTCTTCGTGTTTAATAGAAACTTGAGGCTGGAAAAATCTATCAGAAAGTTTACACCAATTGGGATTTGAGGAAACCAGTAATTCTCAGAGAGCTCCAATGTGACCCTGTGGCTGCTTCCAAGTCATACAATCTAACAATACTAGAAATGAGATGTTTTCAGGGTTTTAAAGAGAATGCAGAATTTTTCAAAACCAAACTCCAGTGTCCTGAAGGCCCTTGGATGTCACTGCATTTAAATAACTATGTAGGTCTGTGGGCCAGGCAAAAAATCTGCTTATGAGTGGACTGAGAGCTAGTTTGGTTGAAAACAAATCTTGAAAAGCTATATCTAGGTAATAATTGTCCATCCTGCTCTTTCTGACCCTTCCTTGCATCTATCAGCTCTGTCACCAGAAAAGACTGTAAAGTCAGTGGGTTATGGTCTCTTTCTGATGACAGTCTTAAAGAATGAGGCAGAGCCCACCATTAGTGTGTATGCTTTAAAATATTTTCATTTCTAATATGTTAGAGTTCGATCTCATCCTCTAATATGGCACCTTTCCCCAGGCTATAACTCTGGTGAGTTTTACCCTGCCTTGACTCAGTTATCTTATGTCTTGATTTTGCACCCATTCTATACAACAGAACCGATCTTCTTTTCTGTGAAAATCTAAAACTTTTAGCTAATTATACATATACTTAGTTAATTATGCATACATGTGCATATATATCTATACACATGCACACATATAATGCTGTTTGCTATTTGATATCGCACATATCAAGAATGTATTATTTTTAAAGAACTTATTTTTAAAGTATTTCTTTAATTTTTTTTTATTTGTGGCATTGTGATTTGTGATACTGTTGACAGTAGGCTTTCATGCACACAACATCCCAACACTACACCCTCTACCAGAGTGTCTACTTTCCTCCACTCCCAGCTCCTCCCTCATAATACCCTCTGTGGTAAGTCAGAGATCAGTTCTCAATTTTGTTGCCTCTGGCCATATGTTACTTTCTTACTATATTTCTCTATAACCACATATAAGACAGATCATGCTGTATCTGTCTCTCTCTTTCTTAACACAGCCTATCTTAACATTTAGATTTATACATGTAATGAGCCTAATGTCCAAAGTTGTTCAACAAAATAAGAAAGAGCATATTCCAGAAGTTGCTGGGCAAAGCTCTCCTTATTGCCCTAAACCATCCAATCATACAGTGAGTCTGCTGTACATTCTCATTGATATCTAAAGCAGTGATAATACAAGATTTCCCTCATTTTGGGTGACCATATTTTAAGAATCAATCCATTGACTCTTTCCCAGAAGTTCCTGGGCCCTGATGTTGTGCAGCTCAGAGAAATCCCTTCAACTTGCAAAACTGCATAACATTTTACAGAGAGAATGTTATTGTTGTGCTAACTTGGAAATTCTTAGTTAAGAGTAACATACAAATATTCATATTCTTATAAAACAATGTTACATAAATATTTTTAAAAGTAATATATATAAATATACATATATGTACATATATATAATGGTTAAGACTATGGTACCATAACTAGGTGGAAGTGGAGGTTTTATTTATTTATTTAATTAATTATTTTTGCTTTTTGCGTCACACAACCATCGATGCACAGGGTTTACTCCTGGCTTTCCACTCAGGAATTACTCCTGGCAGTGCTCAGGGGACCATATGGGATGTTGGGAATCAAACCCTGGTCAGCCGCGTGCAAGGCAAACGCCCTACCCACTGTGCTATTGCTCCAGCCCCATGGAGGTGGTTTTAAATCTAGCTTTTCTACTTTGTAGCTTTGTAGTCTTCAGTCAGGGAACTGCACCTCTTTTTCCTCTTTTTTTTTTTGCTTTTTGGGTCAAGCTGGTGATGCACAGGGGTTACTTCTGGCTCTGCACTCAGGAATTACCCCTGGCAGTGCTCAGGGGACCATATGGGATGCTGGGAATCGAACCCAGGTCAGCCGCGTGCAAGGCAAACGCCCTACCTGCTGTGCTATTGCTCCAGCCCAGGGAACTACACCTCTTTAAGTTTTATTGTTCTGATATGCAAATTTGTGTTATCATGAGGAAACACTAATTTAATATGTATAATGATGTAGAATACAGTAAGCACTCAATAAAGTTGACCTATGACTAATAAAACTTTTTCAGAAATAAGCAATGGAAGGTAGAATAGGAATTATAAATTCTGAGAATTTGCATAAAACCTTCGAAGGGCTTTTGAAAGAGAGTTCTACGTCAATTAGAGCTCTTATTATTACTATGGCTTTGAGATGTCCTATATAGAACTTTTGAATAATATAACCTATTATGTGTAAAGTATTGACTCTGTATGCATTTTTTCTATGAGAAATTTCATTTGAGAGGAATAAGTAGTGCCAACAGGTATGCATTAGAAGGTTTAAATACTGAAAGGAATTGATTACAAGTGTACATGTTTTGTTCTCTAAAATTTTTCTCTTTCTTGTTTGACCATCCTTGTTGTTACCAGAGAACTAACACTCCGATAAAAGAGCAGCTATTGGTTTTATGAATTTCTGGCACCTCAGACTAGCAATTTATCATTGTGATCATGTTAATGGATGGTTGAATCTCTCCTTAAAAATATCAAATGTAAAAAAATGAAATGAAAACTCAGTTTTAAATGCGAATTATTTAAAGAAAACCAGGATGACTACTGGAAAAAGATTAATGTAAGCTGCTCTCTATTGAAGAGTAGTTTTAGGCACCAAACATTGATCTATCAAATATAAGGCAACATCTGTCATATAATACTGAACACGCCACAAAAAAATGATTCATACATGACCGCACTGAAAAGTCGGATTCTCTGACAGTTCTGCTATTGAAAACATTTCAGGGATTTCCATCTTTAGTAATACATGATTTAAAATATCTAAGCTGAATCATCAGGCTGATGTGACTGATATCTTCAATAGACAACTTTTTTAAGCTCTTAAAGTGAAAGGGTTTGATTTTCAGGGGCAAATTGGTATTCAAGTTCTTAAGGCTGTTAATATTTTAAAGTTCTTAATATCTTTTGCTACTTCACCTTTATTTAAAGTTAATTTGTAATTACAGCACAATTACTAAGTATTCTAAGACCCCAAGGGAAAATAAGATGGTCAACTTTTTGATATGGAGAAAAATATATTTCAGTAAGGCAACTCACACAAAGAAACCCACATGAATCTATCAAAACTAGAATAGTTGGAAGACATTTTTCAATACTTAGTAAATTTCTACTATGTTCTAAACTATTTCAGGTGCTGGGAACAGAAACAATGGTCAGTTGGATAAAACTATCATCCCTGGACATTATTTTTTCACACAGAACTATGCTTTTCTTTTAAAAACCTAACAAAACCTTCTTTAAAAGCTTAACAAAACAGATCTAGCTTGATTTCTTGACAAGTAAGTTTTACTTTGCAGAGTCTGCAGCCAAGCACAACTGTTGTGTTTGTAGAGACATTTGTAAGATCAGAGGCACCTATCAGTTTAAGATCCACATTTGAAGAGTCAAATGCATTCATTTCTTGACTATTCTAAAGCTTTATAAATCATCCACAGTATTTTTCTTACAAGCCCATTTTACATAATCTAAGCTTTGAATGGGGATCCTCTGGGTTTGAGCAGTGAAGTATACTCAAGATCTGCTCATACAAAATGATGGAACACATGGTAAGTTATCCAACTCCTTTCCACCTAGTTTCTTGCTCAGATCTGTTAGGGATCTGGGCAACCTGAAGCATTTAGTAAAGATAATTGCTAAAGGAAAGATTAGAAATGACTCACCATTCTGTGTATATCCACTTTGTCCAGAAGTTCTTTGAAGTAAATAGAAAAACAGACAAAAAGTTATACCTAGAATTGTCATTGTGAGAGAAAAATGAGAGAGCAGGGCCGTGAGCCTTGGGTAGAATGAATGAGAGAGTTGCACACACAGGATATGTGTGTGTTTGAGAGAGAGAGGAACACACAGAGAGAGAAAAAGAGAGAGCGAGAGCACATGCACAGACTTAGATCTACAACTTCAAGACTTTATACTTATTTAACCACAGACAGGGGGAAGTATAAACACAGCAAAAAGAAGGCAAATGTCAGAAACAGGAAGTTTGAGTAAAAGTATTGCAGCTCTAAGCTGAGATGGAGAAAAAAAGAGATAGAGCACTTGAAATTATCATAAGCCTGACATTCCTGGCAACCCCAGACTTCCTGTGCTGATTTCAGTTAAGGTGTAGATTCAAATATAAGTTCCAGCAATCTCATGTGAGAGTGTGAGTCACACTCATTTGAAAAGACTCACAAAACAACAACATAAACCTACAAGGTAATCAATGTAGTCAATTTGCTTTAGAGAAACATTTTTACACTTTAAAAAGTAATTTGTTGTAGGTTTAAAGAAATAGTTTGGCTCCAATTTTAGGTCAAATGCACTAAAGGGTTTCACGAGGATAACTATTTCTTGTTTGCCTTCTCTATATCTCTTGTACATACTAATACCTCACTCAAAGTAGCAGGAATTAAAGAATTACTTAATTCAGGAGTTCAGACTACTACTTAGAATTTTTTCTTTTCTTTTCTTTTTTCTGTAAATAAAGTTGAACTGAAACATGACTGCTGTTGTGGTAAAACATCAGAATTGACCAGGTGAGACAAATTGCATGATACATAGAGTATAAAATCTTTTTTCATCATCCTTATACATAGAAAATCTGCTGACTCCTTTTTTATTTTTCATTTTATTTAAAAATATACAATACTCTTTATTATAAATTCCATGGAGTCCATTGAATCTTGCAGAACACTTTTGAGGAAATTTGCCAAACTCTTGTCTTTGTGTTAAAACTGTGTCTGCAGTTGATTATGAGTCAACTCCTTTTTAAATGGAGAAAATGGTTTTTTTTGGTGTGTTTGAAATAGTATTCTACTTTTGGAAATCTCATTGACACACATTATTTCAGGAACCTAGAAAATGTAGAAACCACTTGAGTACTGATATATCAGGGCAGGAGCTTGAGATGATGACAGAGATAATTCAGACTCTTCTTAAATGTGTCTGCCACTCAAAATGTTGCCAAGATAGGCCCATGGCCCATGTGGTGATACATGTCGAACCTGCTTAAGTTCTTATCAGATGTTGGCTGCTTTTCTTTAAACCAGTCTCATTTGGTAGACACAGGCTGACAGCAGTTCAGGTTCAGCACCTAGTGTTTACTCTGCTCTTCTACTGAATAATATCAGCTGGATTCCAGCTAGTAAACAACATGTACTTGATTCATCTTGGTGCTTTCCTTGAGGGCAAAAAGCCACAAATCTGCCATTGTAATAAGGTGATGACTACAGAGATGCTGTTAGGCACTGCTATTGACTTCAGTGTTATCTGTTCTTTGGACCTAAATGGCAACATTAGCAGAAATGAAGTATGTCTCTGGGTGTGTCAGTTTATGAAACCTACATGAGTCTTCCTGTCTCCTCCTTACAGCCTTTGTGCCAATAGCATAAATGGAGAATACAGAAGGTGGATATCTGTATCAGTCCCAGGAAGCCTTCCCTTGGTTCTGCATCAGAGACAGGGACAGGGATGGAGTTTCCTGTTGACATGCTGTATTCTGGCAACAAAGCTGCACAGGTATATCAGAGCCAGAAGCCAGCTCAACAGAACATAGTCAATATTCTCCATTGACCAGGCCCCTGTGGGGACATTTTTCAATATCTCCCAAACCAAATAAAGAATGGTAATTTTGTGAATCTGATAATAGTTTGTGCTCCCATTCTAACCTTTTTCTTTTGTAAAGTTGGTTTGAAAATCAGAAGCCTGATTCACAAAAATTAACATGTTTTGTGCTTTGATCTCATTATTTTTTAGGAAAGCTATAATTATAAATTTGCATAATCTAAGTAAGTGATCATGGAAAACCCACAAATTTTTCTATTCACTAACATAGATCTCATAAATGGTTCACAAATTCTCACTCCATGGGGAGTAATTGAGTCATGTCTCTTTAAATTCTCTTGTTTATCATTTGAGTGGACTATCATTTTGATTGTATCTCTTTCCTTTAGTTGTGAAGATGTAAAAGAACAAAGCCAAGACACAATATTTTGGTACAGCATGTGCTAGTTTTCTCGGGGGATTTCCACTGGGGCTCTTACCCTCTTTGGGTGGGGCAGGAGATACCCAAATACCTCAGAGAGAATCTCAGACAAAGTGTGAGGAGCTCAAAGAAAAGAGAAACTTCCGTGTCCTTCTGGAGATTATGGGAGAAGTTGGTACCTTTTCTACTTTCTTCCTGCAGGTGTCTTTGGTTCTTCAGAAATGTACAAAGTTAGGAAGAACTGTCTTACTCCACCTCTTTCCTAAATGAGAGATATTTACTCGGTGATGCCAAAACAGAAGTGGAATATCAGAGAGGTAGATCAGGACATCGTTCTAGGGCATCCAAGCCTCCTTACTCTCACTTTAGAATTTGAACATTGTTTTTGTTTGATGTGGATCGAATCCAGGGGCTCACACATGCAAGACCAGGGCTTTCCCATTGAGCTACTTCCATGCTCAGGATCTGAACACTGGACTGCGGGCAAAGCAAGTTTCTGAAGAGGTGATTGACTGGAGTCTGTGTCTTCTCTCTCTTTAGTTCCTTTCATCAGAAACTTTTCCCTTTTTACATGTCATCTTCCTGTAGTTCTATGAGTTCCTATGATGTGGTGAATCATAAAAAAGGGAGGTATTTTATTGTCTCATACTCAAGTAGAACAGTGACTACATAAGTATCTCAATACTACTTGATCACATCTCTGCCTCATTTTTCAGACAATTTGTTAATAAACACATAGAATATTTTCTATTCTTTCCATGCTTTAATAACTTGAATGCACTTTATATATAACTGGTGGAGTTCAAAATAGCTCTAAGAACTGTCCCTTTAGCAAGGTTTGAACTTTAATGTTGGGGGAGTATATTCACTCTCTGATTGTTGTCCTACTCCAGCAAGTTTCAAGTAGTTCCCTTTCCCCAATTAGGTTAAAAAAAAATTCAAGCTGAACATCTAAGTTTAAAATGAATCTTCAGTAGCCAGGGATATTGCTTAACTACTAGTGCATATGGCTTGCAAGGGCAAAGTCCCAGGACTGATTACCAAGGCTTCAAGGTCTTCTAGAACTGCCAGGTATAGTAACCCTGGACCCTGCCTAGTCTAGATCACCTCCAGCACCACTGAGTGTGATTCCTGTCAAACAAATGAACTTTCATTATTTGACCATTTAGGAACTAATACTTAATTTCTACCATTGACAGAAATTATAATTTTAGTGGGGTCGGAGTGATAATACAAGACGTAGAACACTTGCCTTGCATGAACTGAACTGAATTTGATCCCTGGCATCCCCTATGATTCCCCCAATCACTGTGAGGATTGATCCCTGAGTGAAAAGCCAGGAGTAACCCCTGAACACTGCCAACTGTAACTTCCAAACCAAAAACAACAAATTATAAATCTTATGGCACAAATATAATACAGTAACCCCATTCATATCCTTGGAAAACTGTTTCAAGAACCAAAGTATTTCTGAATTAACTTTTATAGTTTATGAAATAGTTCTTAACTACTTAGCAATTTCTGTTAAATGAGAAAATTTAAAGGATAGTCATCTTGTGAAGACAATGAATGAAGCAATAACAGCAACAACAGTCAGTACTAATTGTTAAATTGTAATATCTGGGGTAAAATCTCATGTCAAAAGAATCTCAAAATTCCAAAACATATTCTATACTGAAATTTCTGTGATATAAAAGGTTATTAAGGTGTATTGCATAAAGAACATTATAATGTTAATTAATATACTATTTACATTCTATATTAACTGCCCTCTTTCTATTGTTGCACTTTCTTCATAGATTTTATCCATAAGAAAAAGAAAATAATTCTGGGCACTTGGATTGCACTGGCAGAAAAGATATAGGCCAGGACCAAGGTGTAGCTCAAGACACAATACTTGTCTTACAAATGTGAGACCCTGAGTTAGATCCCCAGCATCTGAAAAAAAACAAACAAATACAAAGCAAAATAAAAACCTCAGGCCAGTTTAACAAGAGCTATGGGAAACAATAATTAAAAATATTTTAGAGCGCCAAGCAGAGCTACATTAGAACTAGTCCTAAATGAGGTGTCTTTAGCACTTTATCATCATGTGCTGAGTCAGTATCTAGAGTTCTTAGGGGGTGTCCCAGCATCATGAAGTTTCATTTCCAGGAGCATAAACTTTTCCTTGTTGTGGCTCTTCTTTTATTTCTCTTTCCTCCTTACTTTATGTCATCAGCTCCATGTCTGACTTCTGTTTGTGTTCATTTTGGACACAGTTTAAAATGTCACTGCTGTTTTGCTTCTCTGTCTTTGGAAATAATCAATGGGAAAAGTTTTCTTGTTGTTGCTGTTGGAGACTTTTTTCTGTGAGAAAATAAAAATTTTAAGGACAAGACATAGTCAAATTGTCATCATTACCAAAAACAGGTAACTTTTTTTGTAAAGTCTTCAGACCATAATATTTTTATGGGCAACTGGTGCTGGGTGCAGGTCTATTTTCAACTCCAAATCCAACCAGACATTTACAACAGGCTCACAAGCTGAGTGTCAGGTATAATGAAATCCAATCATTTTGAGAAAATATGCATCCAGTGTTACGAATCTAGTCCCAGTCTCTTGTGTGTAGTCTGGTACATCTTCTCTTGTCTTGAGCTCTTGTCTTCCCATGAAATGTTTTGTGAGGAACTAACACATTTGATGCCACATTTGTGCTCAAGCCCAAAATTCTAGGGAATTTGGCAAGAACTCCCAATTCTACACCATAAATGTTCTATGATAACAGAGTCCTCAAGAA